CTGCAGGCCCTTAACCATATGAGTGGCCCTTCTCTGGACCCTCTCCAGGTTATCCGCATCCCTCTTGAAGTGCGGCGCCCAGAATTGCACGCAGTACTTCAACTGCGGTCTGACCAGCGCCTGATAGAGGGGAAGCATCACCTCCTTGGCTCCGTTTGTCATGCATCTGCTGATGCACGATAAAGTGCAGTTAGCTTTTCTGATGACTTTGTCACACTGACGACTCACGTTCATTTTGGAGTCCACTAGGACTCCAAGATCCCTTTCCGCTTCCGTTCTACCAAGCAGGTCATTCCCTAGGCTGTAGGTGTGCTGGACATTTTTCCTCCCTAGGTGCAGCACTTTGCATTTCTCCTTGTTGGATTGCATTCTGTTGTTTTCTGCCCACTTGTCCAACCTGTCCAGGTCTGCTTGCAGCTGTTCCCTGCCCTCCGGCGTGTCCACTTCTCCCCATAGTTTTGTATCATCCGCAAACTTGAACAGAGTACACTTCATTCCCTCGTCCAAGTCGCTGATGAAGACATTGAAGAGTATCGGTTCAAGGACCGAGCCCCGTGGGACCCCACTGCCCATGTCCTTCCAGGTCGATACCGACCCATCCACCGCCACTCTGTGGGTACGACCCTCTAGCCACTTTGCCACCTGCCGGACTGTGTAATCATCCAAGTCACAGCCTCTTAACTTGTCCACTAGTATGGGGTGGGATACTGTATCGAAGGCCTTCTTGAAGTCTAAGTAGACAATGTCTTACTCTTGTACTTTCTTTAAAGTGATGCATTGTTATGGAACCAATCAGGACTTGTGGTAGAGGTGATATATTTTATTATACCAGGTAGATTTTTGCAAAAAAAATTCTTTAAAGACTTGGTCTACCACCTCTACCACGAGTCCAGATTGCTTTTGTCCTCTAGGCCAATACGGCTACAACCTGGATACCTGACACATTGGTATGGATAGTTTTGTTTGTGTTATGCCCCAAATAAATTCGAGCATCACTCTCTCTTGGTTACCCCTTCTAGGACATTCTGCTGCTCAGTGGGAGTCTTTGAACTCCATTGTGAATTACATTAAACTTTGGGCACAGTCTTTGAGCACAGACCGTATTTGGACTGCAGATCACTGAGGTCACCTAACAGTTTAGACTTGGTGGAGGTAGGGAGCAAGAAAATAAGTACTGTGTGTCCAGTTGAGTTAATGGCTGTTCGGTTGTGGGACAGCCCAGTGGCAGTGCCATAGAATAGCCCTGTGCCATAGGGCTATTTACTGACTTTTTACTGACTGTCAGGTAGTTTTAAAGTGATGCCCCTTCAGGGTTCAGCCACTGTTTTGCAAAAGTCCACTAGGTACTGTTCTAAATTGCATAATTTTTAGTTGTGGTCAGACACTTTGCTAAACCATTTTGAAAGGGGAGGAGTGAGGCTTACTGCTTTGAATCTTGCATCTTGAACCAATAAATGAACTGGGCTGTCTACTTTTGCACTAGTATAGTGGAGCCAAACCACTGTACTTTACTTTACTTTAAACCTGACAGGTTTAAAGTTGCAGTGGCTTAGCTTTCACGTACACTGTAACTCATCTGTCCATTTTATCAGCTGCAAAGTGCTATAATTTGAAGTGCCCTAAGTGTTCATCTCTCCACACCTTCCCCAAGTTCCCCGAACAGAGGTGTTTCTGTCATTAAGCACTCACTGTTTTTATATTTGTGGGAATACTGCTACATCATGGGACCAGCCTCTAGGTTAGGTGTCAGCTGAATGGCATTTGTACAAATAGTACCATAGCATCGTATACAAATACTGCACAGCTGAGCTGTGTTCTTAGAAATGCCACTTATCTGAGCCCTTGGGGGCAGCGTTTAGGCTTTTTGGGTCTTTGGCTGCATTCCTCTTAGCGTTTTAGCATAGAGTGTAGTGGGGTATCGCATCAGAGTGGGAAGTGGCAATGGGACTCAGCAGGGAAAGGAGAAGGCAAGTTTACAGGCATTTATGAGTTGACTGCTGTTTTATTGCGGCTGTTTGAGCTCTTGGATCACAATTGTCTGGTGCTGATTTATTTTAAACTTGCATTTAATTTGATAGGAGCAGGCAGTAAAATCAAGTTTTAAAATCTTTATCATTTCTTGATTGCCAGTGGTTCCTGGGATGTATGTGGATGTGAACAGCACTGTGTAAGACAGGTTTTTTCTTTCCCTCTCGTACTGTTGCCTGCTAATGATCAAACGGACAGTTCAAATTTAAATGGGAGACAGCTGATAGGCGGTGTTGGGGGTGGATCGGGTTATCGTTCATTGATGTTCTTCACAGCTTGTTAGTTTGGCTTCCCTGTACGTGCACAAGGAGAATGTGATACGCTCCTTTGGGCCTAATGTATGTAGACATGCATATGGTTGTAAATGCAGATAATTATTTTTGCTTTAACAAGGTAGAGTATGTGTATCATGGTTTAGTGCATATCTGTCATAAACTATATCTCCTCCTGAATAAGGTTGTGGTTCAACAAG